ATGTGTACCCCTGCAGGTGCAGGGGATGGGTAGCACTCTGCCCATCTGCCCTTTATGCAAGGACAGACTATCAGGCTAGATCGTGTGGTTTACATTAAAATGCAGATTTCCTATAATCCCTCTGCTATATTTAGCTTTGTCCCTGTTGATGGTACCTCTGACAGGCTCTTTTTTTTTGCTGCCTATGTAAGAAAATAACATGCACTGTCAAAAAATGCCACTTCTCTTTAATTACAATTAATCCCCAGTGGAACAGTTTGTGATGGGAATTAGAGTGACACATGCTACTTCTCAATTAGCACCTTAACATCCCCGCTGCAGGCAGCAGAGCCTTGGGGGTTCGCTTCTTTACTGCCCTCCCTCTGGTTTCTGGCTGTGATTCAGCCCGGGTTCACCCAGGTGCCCACTGTGGGGGTGCCCCCAACCTTGGGGTGCAAACACATGCCAGCCCCACACCGCAGGTGAGCTCAGCCCCTCACTCACCACAGTGGCTTGGGTCCGGTCCTCTGTGTTGTATGTGCAGGTCGTGATGAGTTCATCACCCTGGGGGGTTCAAACACAGACACGTGTAGGTGTGAGAGTGCAGAGCTTCCCATCTCCTCTCAGTAAATTTGGGGATCAGGGAGTGTGTAACGTAGCAGATCTCTGCCCCCTGTAGCGGTGCCAGCCCGCAGGCAGCCTGGTTCCCCACCAGCACCGACTGCAGCGCCGCAGGAGCGCTCGCTAAACTTGCATCCCCTGGGGAGATTCCCTAGGGACATATCCCAGGGATGGGGTTTCCTGCTTTCCTCACTTTTTTAAGAATTTCTGCAGGGCTGAAGCACCAAAAAAAAAAAAAATGCACTTAGGCAGCATTTTGGATTGCCAAACCTGCACCCAACTTGATGGCACAACTGCCTCCCCACCATGGCTGGTGCCAGAGCCCATGGGGACACCCTGGAGCACAGCCCTGGGTATGGTTTCAATGGGTGCTGAGTCTTTTGAGCAGCTTCTTGGGGCACAACAGCTCCTGTCGGTGACCCCTGCTTTGCGGCCGGGTCCTTCCTCACCCGTACAGCCCTGGGGCATGCTCAGCCTCTGTTTTACCACCCACTCCCACCACGTTTGCTGCCGAATCTCTTCCTCTCCTTCTACCAAGCAAGGAGGGAGGGGGCACCTCCAATGCGTGCATGGTTTGCCCGCACCCCCCGAGGAGCATCCCTCTGCTAGAGGAAGCCCAGCTAAATTAGATGCTTAATTTAGCTCCCGGCATGGTTCGGTTGCCCACACACCGGTTTTGTGCCATATGAGACAGGCTCCGGTGTCCCCAAGGCACTGGTGCGGGGATGGCAGTTGTGACCTGGGGACCGGAGGGAACTTGTCCTCCTGCAGCCCCCCGGGAGGTCCCGGATGGCAGCAGTGCCTGTGCGTGGGCAGGGGTCTCAGGGCTGCAGGGTCAGGGGAAGGTCTTGCGCTGTTTGGAAGCCAACATGGTTGTTGAAGCCACTCACTGGAAAAACTGCAACCACCTCCTTCAGCATGCGGATCTCCTGGCAGGGAAGGAAAAGGGCTACATCAGAGCAACGCCGTGGCTCTGCCCGGGGCAGCCCTGTGGGTGACATCCAGCCAGGACCACCCCCCCGCTGTCCTTGCAGACCCCTGTACCTGGAAGTGAGGGCTGTAGTGACCATCAGCGTTCACGACCTGCCGCTCTCTCCCATCCCGGGACAGCACTGTCACCACTTTTCTTCCTGCCAGGTGAGTGTGGAGCTGGGAGGCGAAGATGCGGATGCCGGCAGCAGGCAGAGCCTGGGGGAAGGACAGCTCAAGCCCCCATACCCGACCCCATCCCTCTCCCCTCCCGTGTATCCCCTAGCTGCATGCTCAGGACCGGCTGTCCCTGCCCTGGCTCTCACATGGGGGTTTAGGGAATTGCTGTACCCTTGGGGCAGCGTAGAAGTGAGCTCCCTGCAGAGGGACAGACGCTCGGTCTGCTGCCAGATCCAGTGTATGCGCTGCCGTGCCCTAAGTCAGCCCGATCAGCGGAGCCGGATGCTCTTTGCTTCCTTGCATTCGTTAGTGGTGGCACAAATGATTCCTTTTGGGTAGGCCCTACAAAAACATCCACTAAAACTTCCCTGAGAGCAAGGTGGGCATTTTGAAACCGTCTTTCAGAGAGCTCTTGGCGAGCTCCTTGGAAGCAGAGGCCGATGTTCCCGTCTCCGCGGGGGAAAGCACCGCTGGGGCGCGGCCAGCTCGGCACTGAGTTTTATGGGAATGGTACCCCAGGGAGCTGGAGCAGATGGCTCCCCAGGAGAGCTGCTTTGAGGGGGAATTCAGCGCATCCCAACCAGCTGCTTGCTGTTTGTTGTTGTACACAGCAGATTTCTTTCTTTCCAGTGCATCCTCATGATAAGGGGTTCAGGGAGTTTAAAACCGGGAATTGCGAGCCCAGAGGCCAGTCCCATATCACTGCTGCCTGGGACCAGGGAAAAGCCATTTGCAACCTCTCTCCTCCAAGGTGAAGCCAAGGCAGAGAGGATGGGCACTCACCCGCTGGGTGCATTTGTCGGTGCAATAGCCCGTGAGGACAAAGGCATCCTCGCCCGGGGGAATGGCCATCACTGGTGTGTAGACCAAGCCCAGCTCCATGATGCCGGCATCGTAGCGTCGTAGGGTGGCCGTGTAGTAGAGGCGGATCCCCGAGGAGTCGTGGCGACCTGGCAGGCAAGAGGATGAGGCTGCAAGTCACCGCCGGAGAAGCGATGGCTGCCGGGACACAGTCAGGTGTGAAAAATGATGCTATGCTGTAGCTTTCTTTATGCATGCAGTTCTTATTGTTTTTAAATCCTAGATATTTTCATGCCAGTCTTTTCTGAGTGGCCCTAGACACATGCCTGGTCCCCTAGAGAGGTCAGCGGCCTGAGGCTGAATTGCTCCCCGGACAGAGAGGTAAGGAGTGCCTTTGGAGAGCCCAAAGCAGAGGGACAGATCATGGGCTGCTTTGGAGAACTTGCTCAGAAATACCGCTCGTTGCATCTTCTTTAACGGATCCATCCAAAAAGCTAGGGCCATGCTGTTATTGGGGGCCTGGCAGGAGGAGACATGCCTATGGAGCAAGTACTCCTTGCGTTTGGAAAACTTCTGGTTTCTCTTGCGTTTGAGATGATTGCTCCGTTTAATCTCGCTTTAGGAGCTGATGGGAGCTGGAGCAGACCCTGTGCCCATGATGTGCCCTGGCAGATGCTGACCGTGGGGCAGAGGCAGCAGCGAGCTCCGCTGCGGTGCAAAGCCAGGCTCTGGCTCCGTTTGCCACCCAGCTTTGCCAGCAAAGGGCAAGGGCAGGTTCAGTAGGTCAGGAGGGGTTCAGGCTGGCTTTGAGCTGCCTGTCTCTGGGCTGGAGCCCACCCAGGGATAAGAATAACAGGGGAGACACTATTGGTTAATATGCAAAAGCAGATAAATTATGAAAGACATGAGCTCCATATTTATAGACATGTTTCTTCTCGAGTTGCCGAATGTGCTATGATTGATCTACAGTACATATGCTCTGGTCTCCTAAAAATATACTTGGGTAGTCAAGAAGCTACTTGTTTTTATGTTAATGAAGAAACTGGGTTGTTTGGAATCCTTTTTTTTTTTTTTTTAATGTGTCTCCTGACAATGTTATCGAAGCAGGAGTACCAGTAAAACAACATCTAAATTCCCCCATTCCCAGCCAGGCTGGTGCTGTCTCTCTGGTGACTTCGTCAGCGCTGTTGCTTTTGGCTCTGAGCTCAGACCCACCACCATCTTGCACAGAAATTGGAGGGACACCCTGTGACACCCAACTACAGACCCGTGTTGCCTTGGATCGTGGCCCTGCAGGAACCACGTGTAAATTCTGTCTGCAGGGCTGCGGGCTCAACCAGGCTCCAGTCCCCGAGCATCCCTCCCCGCTGCTGGGCATGCAAGAAGATGGGGTCTAGCCTTCAGTGAGGATGACTTTGCTGAGACCAGAAAGGCAGCAGCATGGTGGGGATTTAATGTATTCCACCCACTAGGACAGATCTGGACCATCAGGTCTCCAGAAAGTTGCAAACAGGGCTACGATTTTGGCCAAGTTTTCTTCTGTATGAAACAAGGAGCCCTCCCCAGCAGGATGGCAGTCCCTGGCACTTACCCAGCTCTCCTGCTGCTGCCTCGCTGGAGAGGCACTGGGCATCATCACGCACCCACTCACCTTGGAACACCAGGGGATTGTGGTAATGAATCTCGAGGCGCAAATATCTGGAGGAGCCCGGGCCACCGAAGGGAAGACCTGCTTCTTCAGGGTAGTAGAAAGCCTGGAAGCAGAGGGAGGGTGTTAGAGGAGCAGTGGGGTGGCTTTCCTGGGGACAAGGCTGAAAACCCTAAGGGAAATGTCTGGGCATAATCCTGACCCCCACCATGGGCTGAGGGAGAGGAGTTGGGCTCTTGCTTGTGCGTGGTGGGCTGGTCTTGCTTCCCAAGGCTTCGCACATGCCGGCACGCACATGCAATGGCATAACGACTGAGCAGGGGCGATTTATGGCACCGAGGAGGTGGGCTGGAGTGAGGTGAAAACTCAGACACATCCAGGGAGAGGAGGGGGAGGTCAGACAAGGCTGAACCCAAAACCCAGTAGAGAATGGGGTTGGGGCAGCTTGCAAAGGGCGATCCCAAGATGGGCTCAGGAAGGGTTAGGAGGCAGCAGAAAAGCACCCAGGAGCAAAGTTTTCAGCCAGGGCAGTGGGTCCCATCTCGCACCCACCTGCGCTCCCATGGCCCATGCTGCAAGCACGTGCCTGCAGTAGTTGAGCCGCTCTGGCTTCATCTTGGAGTTGCAGGGCCCGTTGTAATGGGGGATGCTATCGAACTGGGCAGTGCACTGGAAGACTTCCATGTGGTGGACGAGGGCCTCATTGCCTGCCGTGATCACTGGCTCGTACTGCAAAGCAACATCCAAGAAGGAGGACACGTTAAGACCGTTTGCTGAGAGCCCATCTCCAGGGGCTGCTGTCTGTGCAGGCTCCCCAGGAACCCAAGGCAGGTATGTCTGCTATCCGTTACTGAATGGGAGACAGTTTCTGCTGCGTGATGGAGGGGAAGGTTGCTCTGGGCATGAGGCACCAAGGGCCAAGAGCTCTTGGTTGGCTTTGGGACCAACCCAGAGTCCACCAGAACCCATAGAGAAACATCTCATCCCTTCTCCAGCAACAGGTGCACCCAGTCAGCAGAAGATCTTTCTGATGTCTGAGTCCTTTGCCAGTTTTTGCAGGGCTGAGGTGACCACGGGGACATTGCTTTTTCCTAAAGAGGGTCCCGACCATGTTGCGGTAGCTCTGCCTGCAGCTATTCAGTTTTCTTTCTAGCCAACAGCTGCTCGGGGCACAGGGAGGGGGATTTGGGGTAGAAAGAGTGACTTCAAACAAGCCTAAGGAACAGCTCTGGCTAAAAACGCCAGCTGTAGAAATGATCTGCAGCAGCGGGAAGGTATCAGGAGTTACGCGCTTTTTACTTACACACAGATGATTCATTTCACACCATCTGTCGGAGAGAAAATCCTCCTTCTGAGTTTTCCTTTGCAATGTTGTCTCTCCCCTGTAAATCACTAAGCACTCGCTTCGGCTCGTGTGTCAGGTTTTCCCTCTCCCCGCTGTGTGGTTTTGACTCTGGCTGTGCCAGGTCATCTGCCGAGCCAGCTCCGTGCCGGCTGGGCGATGCTCTCCCAGCAGCGTGTGATGGGTGATCAGACTGGCATTATACCTGCCTTTCCCTGGCACTGGGCTCCTTGCAGATTTCTGCCTTTCCTACGAGGGAGGTGACCCAAGCATGTGCAACGCATCCGGACAATGCACACAAGTTGCATTGATGTCTGTAACCCTTTTTTTTTTCTTGGAGTATGCCTAATCTTTTAGAAGCCCTGCTCTCGCCAGCCCTGTTCCTTCGTTTCCCATGTTTATGTATTCCTTGTGGCTCACTGTGTGCCATAATCCTGCCCCAGGTCTGTCCTTGATGGCTACAGCTCTGCCTTCTGCAGGGGGTCAGCTCTGCAAAGAAACTGCTCTGAGCCTGCCCTGGTCACCCGCTCGATGTGCCAAGTGGAAAGTCACCAACCTGCTACCTTCTGCTGAGAAACTTCTGATTTTGGGTTCTCTAGGAGACACGAGGATGCTACTGGCTGGTGGGATGGCTCTGGGAGGTGTTTTGGTACCACGTTGGGGAAGATTTATGGGTCTGAAAGGGCGGTGAAGAGGTGGACTTTGCAGAATGGTTGAATGTAAACACGATTTCTTATCTGCACCAGGGAAAGCAACCCTCTCCTCCCCCCTCTTACCATGATAATGTGATGTTTGGGGAAGCCGTCTGGGAGCTCTGTCATGTAACACCAATAAGTTGTCTCCTGGTTGGGAATGTCAACGTTAGGGGCTGTTATCTCCATGGTCTTAGTGTCGCTGGGCAGTTCAGGGATGGTGATGTTGGGCTTTAGCAGCTGCACCCTCTGCAGTCCCCTGCGGATGGCAGAGATGTTGATGGCTCGGAGGGAATGGACCGGTTTCTCCAGGATCCCATAGATAAGGTGCACGGTACCATCCTGAAGCAAGAGCAAAGTGTATCAGGTGGTTTTTCATGCGGGAACATGAACTGCTTGGACTATTAGCACCAGTATTGGTGGCATGAATCCAGGAATGAGTTTTTTGACCCATCCCCAGATGGGAAGCCACCCTGACTTCACCAGTAGCTCATTTTGCTGTGTTGCCGCAGGAAGACTCAATTTTGGGACATTTCTTTGGCTGATGTGATCACAGAGGGTTTCCTACCAGTTGGGAAAGTCTGAAAAGTTTTCCCTAGATGGCATCAGTTCCTTAAGGGCAACATCTCCTCCCTGCTCTTTCAGAGCCCCTCGTCCCTCCTGAGCTCCAGGCTGCGACAGCCACGTTGGTTCAGGGCTCATCCCACCCTGCAGCCCAGCCCCGGCAATGGCCACAGGCAGCAGCCTGGGGAGGAACAGCAGAAACAAAACTTCTCCCTGAAATCCTCCCTTTCTCCCAGTTTCTGTTGCAGGGGTACTGCGAGAAGCTCTGCTGAAAGTCTACTGCA